ACGAACGCGGGAATACACTCACTTCAGTTCCTGCGCTCGTCGGTGTAGTTCTATTTTCCTGGTAAAACTTTGTGATTATTATTTGTGAGTTTTTATAGAAAGAAGTGTAGAATAAAGTTATTGTGGTATAAAATTAAAAGTGTGTGATCTTAGATCTCTTTCATTATAATGGACACAATATACGGTAGCACGACTGGGGGGGGGGGTCCCCCCCCAAAAACCACCGGTGTCCTCCCCCAATATATATATATATATATATATATATATATATATATATATATATATATATATATATATATATATATATATATATATATAAAAGCAGTGGTACTGGGAAAGGTAGGTAACTGGAGTAATAATAAGTAGTATAAAATAAAACACTATGGATACCTAGTTATTTACTTTATTTTTCACATTTCAGGTAGGTACATCAAAAATTTATAAAAGTAATTGGTTCGCGTTTGAAGAATTGTCATTTTTAATGGATCGCGATAAACCGCGACAGTCATTGAATACAGTAAGTTATTATTTATATTCTTTTTATTTAATGATAATATTGAAAACGTGCGTTTCAGACAGTTAATAGTGATTTTGGAATGAAATAGCTCCTTCCTTTAAAAAAAATCCCCTAATTCCTTTCTTATTTCTTTTACATTGTCAGGAGACCGACGTGCACAGTTTCTTAGTGGTTGTAATGTTACATAATCCTCCTCTTAAACTTTCGCTTTCTCTTATTCCAGAACAGTAAGTATCTGAATGAGCTCGTAAGTAGTTGTGCAAGTGAGCGGTCGTTAGTACTACAACTGTTGCTTTATTTGGTTCTACCATAAGTGGTTTTCTTAGAACTCTGAAGACTTGTGCCATTATACCAAAAACGTTTTCCACAACACGACGTGCTCTGCTTAGACGATAGTTGAACACTCTTTCAAGAGTACCTTTCGCATGTGTTTGGCCGGGAAACGGTTTCATCATGTTTTCGGACAATGCAAATGCAGAGTCACCTAGTAAATAATATGGTATAACTTTATTACGTCTTTCCAAAGGTGTTGGAGTGGGCAAATTCAATTCACCTTTTACTATCAAAGAGTATAGTTTAGTATTCTTGTATACTCCACCATCCGATATTCGACCCTGACAACCGACACCGACAAACCTAATCTTGTAATTAGCATCGGCCAAAATAACACAATACTGAAATGGCCCTAATAGTTGTAAAATTCGGTACCACTGTTAACAGGCGCCTGTAAAACTACATGTTTTCCATCCACTGCGCCGATGCAATGAGGGAAAGTTCCATAACTCGTCTAATGCATCAGACATCATTAACATGTAAAGCTTAATATGTCGCTGACTATACAATAAAGTGTTTACATACATTTTTGGCCTATTTTGTTTTGTTTTTAGGAAAATAATAATGATGCCATTCTCGACCAACCGTCTACTGCACAAACTACAGATGGCCTCCATCACCGACAAATGCGTCCCCGACGCCTCCAAAAAAAGGCAAATACGATCCAAAACTTGCCATGTTAAAGGATGCATTTGGTATTTTAAAATCAGCATCGACCAAGTCAATCAAGACTACGAGATTGGCACGTTTTGTAAATTTTTAGAGAATAAATTGAGAAGTTACGATCATCGCACGAAGAATTTGGTACAACAGTGTTTATGTGATTTAAGGCTGACGCAGAATATTTTAGTGACAATGTACAATATGGTTACTACACAAGTCGGTCCCAAAATTATACAACACGGCCAGAAACAGCTACACTGGATCCGATTTATTCATCAGCACACTCCCGGCCAACAGGCGGATCGCACTACAGCGCGGATTCTTTTGATGTCGTTGATTTCGTTTAATTATACTTCTTATATTATTTTTTAATTTGTATGGAACCTATTATTAATAAAACATTTGTTACCTTCACATTGTCTTTCAGTCCATTGATAATAGCTTGACAGACTTCTGGGATAAATTTGCTGATTGCATAGCATAAACACTCACGCCTGTCACCCAGAGGGGTAGGCAGAGACCACGGACTTCCATTTGACACGATCCTGACATACCTCTTTCGCCTCCTTTACATCCATATATCTACGCATACATGCTCGTCGGTTAAGGGTACTTTTAACGTGGCCCATTTTCAAAATATCGCCAATTTGGTCGATAAACTTTTTCTAGGGCGTCCCTTCCCGACTCTGCCGTTCACATCTGCCATATAAATTTGTTTTGTCACTCTTTCCTCATTCATTCTTTCTACATGACCAAACCACCGAAGCATTCCTTTCTTAATGCTGGTCACAACATCATCTTGCATACCACATTTATCTCTTATCATGCAATTTCTCATCCTGTCATTCAGATTCAACCCTAGCATACTCCTTAAAGACCGCATTTCTACAGCATTTATTCTACTTTCGTGCTTCTTCTGCCACACCCAGCTTTCACTACCATACATTAAAGTAGGGACTAACACAGCATTATGAATTACCATACGTGCCTTTTTTTATACATTCTGGTTCTTCACAATAGAGTGTAGTGCCCCATTCACTCTATTCCCTGCATTTACTCGTCGTTCTATATCCCTATCATATCTACCATCCCTGCTAAATACACATCCCAAATACACAAACTCATCCACTTGCTCAATTAACTCTCCTTCTATTCTTATTTCGCATACCGTTTTGCTTTCCTCTCTTTCAAAAACCATCACTTTCGTCTTACTTGCGTTCACTTTCATTCCCCTTTCTTTTAATGCCAGTTCATTAATGTAACCATCATTTGCAAATCAGCCGCCGATGACGCAAATATGACTTGATCATCGGCATACAAAAGGCATTTGACGGTTAACTCGCCCATTCTTAACCCACATTCTTCATCTTTCAAAGTTTGCAAACACCTGTCCATAAATATGTTGAACAGCCAAGGGGAAGCCACACAGCCCTGTCTGACACCCTTTCGGATGCCAAACCAGTCCGAGTAGACCCCATTGATCTTGACACAAGCACTAGAATCCCTATAAAGAGACCTCAATGCCTGTATCAAACCAGCGCTCAACCCATATGAGTTCAATGTTTGCCATAACACATTCCTGTCCACTCTGTCATAAGCCTTTTCCGAGTCCATGAACGCACAAAAAACTTTCTGGTTTTTAGCCAAAAACTTCTCTGCAATCATGCGCATGGAAAAGACTTGATCTGTACACCCCATTACCTTTCTAAAACCCGCTTGCACATCCCAAATTTTTCCATCAGTTTCTTTCATAACTCTTTCAATTAACACCTTAGCATACAGTTTACCCACAATACTAAGCAAGCTGATACCACGGTAGTTTTTGCAGTCCTGCTGTGACCCTTTTCCTTTATATATTGGTACTATAACTGCTTTACACCAGTCACCCGGTACCCGTTTTAATTCCCAACATAAACAAGGTGTACAGCAGGCCTGCCACCACTCCCTCTCCAGCCCTTAGCATCTCGAGTGATACTCTATCATATCCAGCTGCCTTACCTGCTTTCATGCTTTTCATTGCTTTCATTATTTCATCTACACTTATCTCCATACCCCTTTCCACTTCTTTCGGAATTTCTTGTTCATTTAATTCAGACGACTCTTCACTCATAAACACGCTTTCAAAGTATTCCTTCCATCTGTTTAAATTCGAAACTTCATCATTCAGAATACATCCATTCTCGTCTCTTATAAGTTGAGTTGCTGGTTGCCTGTTTTGATATTTTAAATAAGTATTGCAGGCTTGTGAAACTATCACCCGTAGCTAAAAATCGTAGCGTTAATCCTAAATTATCTTGAGCCGATATAGCTTTTTTGTGTCTCGCATGAAGTTTTTATAATGGCCACTTAATTCTTGAGATTTGAGTTCCAACACCAATGAATTCGGACGTCTTTTCTTGAAAATGCCAGATTCCCAAAAGCGAGGAGGGCTTCTATAGTCTTCGAGTAGGTAATGAAATAAAATATATGCTGTACTAGCCACTAATGGTGACATGTTCGCTCAATGTTCACAAGAGGACTGTGGAGCATGCATGTTCCTATGGAGATACGCGTACCCGTCTCCATCAGAGCGATTACGGAAGCGCGGGGCGCAAGGGGTTCGCGAAAGTAACGGATACCCAGCTTTAGTTTCGTAACTTTCGTACGTTTTGGTTTTGGTTAGATAAGTGATAACTAATAACGGATACGGAACGGAAAGGATAAATAAATTATACACCTAGGTGTATCGGTATGATACGATAGTTTGATAACATAACGTTGATTGCCTCGTTGGTTAGTGGTTGTAGTGGCGCGACTACTGATCACGAGGTCCTGGGTTCGAATCCCGGGTCGGGCGAAAAAATTAATTATTGAGTTTTTCCGTCAAGAAATTCTCAATAGCTGCCTGGAGTCAGGAAGTTGGCGGTATATCACCCCCGTGCTTCGGAAGGCACGTAAAGCCGTTGGTCCTGCGCTTGATCTCTCTCCGGTCGTGTCGGTTTACCGTCCCACCGGAATATGAGTGTGATGGAATAGAGAGTGCACCTGTGCTTGCGCATACACTTGGGCATAATCCTGTCCTGCGCCGATGGCTTGTGTCCGTTGAGGCTGGCCGCCGTGTCCGAAATTCGGTCGGAAGAACATTACTAACATAACGTTATTAGTTACGTTTTGATATATCGGTCTCATGCATAATTGGGGACATTTCCTTGACCTAAAACCCTCTCAGAAATAAGGCCTGTGCTCATCAGTGGGACGTATGTGTATATATATATATATATATATATATATATATATATATATATATATATATATATATATATATATATATATATATATATAAAAAGTATATTAAATACACCTTTTTTACATATTAATATGCAGTTGAAAGCGTTTGTTTAGTTAATTACATCATGTTTTATATATAAACTTAAATATTCATTAATTACTTTGTTCTAATCTCGACCACTTGGCGACCACTAATAACAATAATAAAACAACAAAACTACTAAAATTTTCTCAATTTATTTATGTTTTTAAATCGCATCTGTATATTTTTGAGCCTTTGGTTATTAGTCAACGGTTTATTCCGTTTTTTCTCTAAGCCGTAATTAATTTTTATCTGCGTCTTCCTCACTTTGTTCAACTCAAAAAACTCTCTCATACATACATTGCACTTTTTTCTATGACCTAGTTTGCTGACGCTACCAATTCTTATATAGTAGCGATTCGTTTTGGACTTGAGGAACTTGTAACATAAATCGCAAATTTCCATAATCTTCTCATATTTATAGTTCAACACTTCTTTTTGTTCGTATCTGTGGTAATTATCTACGTGTGAAAGGTAACTAATGTAATACAGTCCACATTCCAGGCACTTCCGCTTGGTACGGTTGGCCTTTGCATAGTCCGAATGATGAGTTCGGATATGGTGATTGAGATTCTGCCTGGTCCCAGCAATATATTTGTCACAGGTAATACAGAGGGGAGGCAACCTCGTGTTAAAGATTATATGTGACACTTCGTGCATAATGAGGCTGTATCTGGAAAAAATAATTAATTATAAAATGGGTCTTGGACCAATATCAACATTAATACAAAAATATAAATATTTTTGGATTTGATGAATTATGATTGCCAACATGTTTCAGAGTATGACATCCCGAAAATATTTTGAACTTAAAAATAATCAACAACTAATTAAACCTTCATCATCATCATTATAATCATCGATGCGCAAGTCATACAAAATAAAAAATACACTAGAGGGCGCTATCAACTTGGTTCTATATTATTTCATACATTTTAATGAAATTTGAAAAGAAATGTTTTAAGTTACGAACTTATGAAGTACCTAACTAACCTATTAGAGCATAGCGTCCGATAAATCGGACCTCAATTAATCCAGCATTTGAAAGGCAAATGAAATATATTTATAGTTCAAATACTATTAAAATAGAAGTTTAATATTTTTTATACAATGAAAACACTAATTTATTGGAGTCAATGATGTTATCTGCCCGTCAATTGTCAATTTCTAAAATAGCGGTATGCAAGAATACTGTCATGGTAAGTGTAAGTATTTATTACCATTTTTATAATTTATTCATAAATCAAAACATAAAATAGATATTTGTATTGATAAGCTAACAGACTAACTAAATATAAGTGGTTTTTCACAAGATTGGTGTTATATTATCTGCTAAACTTGCGATTTTTACGCCATCCGATTTATCGGACGCTATGCACAGCGGACATTGCATGTGGTGTTTTTTATTATTTTGCATTTTGAAAAAGCATGAAATTTTATCTGCTTTAGAATGTAATGAAGAGAGTGATTATGTAGAAAATCGTATTTATGTGGAGCCCCCGATCGAAGACGGTCTTACTGACGAAGTCAGTGATAGATCATACGAAGAACACGAACCTAACCTAAACCATTTAGGATGCAGATCATTTCAAAGTAGGAGTGAACTACAACAGGTACGACGAGCTGATGAAGGAGATGGTCATCCTTCGATATCTGTGGGTAATGGTTCAAATATTACAGTTTTATTGCAAGATTGTTTATTGAGTAGTTCTGGTAGCGAAGATGACGAGCCCCTTTCTTCTTCGTCGAATTCGTAAAGGAGAGAGGTCATTACGCCTTCCGTCTAGGTGACGACATTTTCGTTGCAGATGGAATGACAATAGTGTCGTAATAGTAGCCACGAATTTCGAAAAATTTTAAATGGCAAGAGTAACTCGGTGGTCCAACGTAATAAAGGCGAAAGTTTTAGTGCCTCGGCCAACACTTATATCGAATTATAATAAAAATATGAGTGGCGTTGACAAATGTGACCAGGCTGTAGCTAATTTGCGAACGCGAATGCGCATAAAGAAATGGTGGTGGCCAATATTTTCTTATTTTGTAGATGTCTCAGTTGTCAATGCCTGGTATCTAGCTCGAAAAAACTGATGTACAAAAGTCACTGAATCACATTGTTTTGCATTTAGGCGCTTCATAGCAAGAAGTTTACTGGGTAAACACGGGACACCATCACATCAAGGACGTAAACCAGTGAAACCGTTGTCCTCAATGTAGTATAATAGCAGAGATTACTGTATTGTTACGCGCCTAAGTCGACGGCACTAGCGCCATCTAGTGTCAGAGACGAGAGAGGGGAGCTTTCCAGAAAATGACATCACTAATCTTTCAACCGACAGCGCCATCTAGTCCCGAACCAAAGACCTAAACTTCTAGAAGTTGAAACTCTCGGTACCTTGCGCGTGTTTACTTGATTATTCTGGATATTTCGGTGCTAATTTATATTTATAGGCGCTGCAAGATGCCATCGGGGAAGTATTGAAGTTGGCGAGACAAGCGAAGCTTCGGAGCGGAATAAAGTGAATCAGTGTGATTAATTATTAGTGTTTTTAACTTTAATTAGTGTAAAGTGAATTAAAGTGTTAATTTAGGTAATTCTATCGGCAATTTTTATTGTCACGAACCTCAAGCTCGTAAAAATTGGTGTCAGAAGTGGGATAAAATCATGCCGATTTTACCTAAGGAGGAAACGGAGGGTGTCCGTACCCGAGGTCAACCCCAGCAGGAGACGGACCAAAGATTTGGTGGTGCAACGCCGCAGACGTCGGAGGGCCAGCCATCAGCTGCAGGCCCGTCAGTAGCCCCTACATCTGCAGCACCTGACTTAGGTGCTCTGATGGTGATGCTGCAGGAGCAGGCTCACCGACAGGAGGAGCAGGCTCGCCGACAGGAGGAACAGGCTCGCCAGCAGGCGGAACAGGCACGCCGATTGGAAGAGCAGCTGCGGGGCGGACAGGAGGAAACTGAAACCCAAATCGCGAAAGCTGAAAACCGAATCGAGAAAGCTGAAACCCGAATCGACCAAGTAAACAATCGGGTTGACAACGTAATGGCTGACATGAAGAAATCACTGGACGAACTCAAACTTGGAGATGGAGCTACAGCTCCCGTAGTAGCTACAACACCTTCGCTACGTGGGTTCAAGGTGCCACCGTTCGAAGGTACCTCTTCCTGGTCAGCCTACAAAATCCAGTTCGAGGCTGTTATGAAGGCGAACGGCTAGAATAAAAGTCAGGCCATGACTGCTCTCACACTAGGCCTGCGCGACCAGGCCTTAACAGTTCTGGAAGCTCTCGGTGAGGAAGTGACTTATGAGCAACTCCTTGAGGCATTGGAGGCGAGATATGGCGACGCTCACCTGGAAAACGTCTTTCGTGCGCAGCTTAAAGATTGCGTACAGCGCATCAACGAAAACCTGTAGCAGTGGTCTCTAGAGGTGGAGAAGCTGGTGCGAAAAGCATACCGGTCTGTACCTGCGCTCATTGAAGGGAACCTGGTGCAGACATTCATCGACGGCATCCGCGACCTGGAAGTCAGAGCTGCTGTGAGGCTCGGGCACCACGAGAAGCTTAAGGACGCCATGGCCCATGCACTGGAGGTGGAAGCCGTGCGGCAGGATCATCGTTCCCGTCGTGTCAGGAGGTTGCAGCAGCTACAGTTCGCGACCGCAACAAAGGATATAGCCCTAGGGGCTATGGCTGTGGGAAAAGGGGCCATCTTCGATCCAGCTGCCCTAAGCGAACTGTAGAAAGGGAAGTTGATCTATCTCAAGAGAGTAGTGCAGCTAACGGCACCGCCTGGCGGCGTCAGCATCATCGTTCCCCTCACGTTAGGGAGGTTGCAGCAGTTACGGTTCGCGACCACAATAAAGGATACAGCCGTAGGTGCTATGGCTGTGGGGAAACGGGCCATCTTCGATCCAGCTGCCCTAAGCGAACCCTAGAAAGGGAAGGTGAAAGATCACAGAAGGGAAGTGCGGCTAACATCACGGCCCAGCAGCAGCCGGGATACAACTTTACTATCAGACATCGCAGCGGGAAATCTCATGGCAACGCAGATGCATGGTCAAGAAGACCTTGTCCTGAAGATTGCAAACATTGTACTAGGCAGGAGAGTAAGGAAGTGGTATCCGTGAGGATGCTCAGGACAGACCACCTCAGCAACGAGTGGAAGGACAGCTTACAACATGTACAGCAGGAAGATCCGGACATCAAGCCGATTCTGGAATGGATGAAGGCCAGTACTCCCAAGCCCAAGTGGAGCGACGTCTCAGCGATGAGTTCGACCACTGCCTAAAAGCTATTGGGCCCAATGGGGCAGCTTGCTGCTTCAGGATGGAGTTCTGTGCCGTAAATGGGAAAATGTTCGGGGAGACAGCTGTCACTTGCAAATGGTTGTCCCTAAAGCTAAAGTACCAGATGTTCTACAGCTGTACCATAATGATTGTTCCGGAGGCCATCTGGGAGTTAAACGAACTCTACTGAAGATCCGAGAACGGTTTTATTGGGTCCACTGTCGAAACGATGTCGAGGACTGGTGTCGCAAATGTACAAGTTGTGCGGCTGTAAGAGGACCTCAGACTCGTAGCAGAGGTGCATTAAAGTTGTACAATGTTGGTGCACCATGGGAGAGAATAGCCATTGACGTGGCGGGGCCGTTTCCGGAGAGTGAAAGCGGTAACAAGTATTTCATGGTTATGATGGATTACTTCACTAAGTGGCCAGAAGTCTTCGCCATTCCAAATCAAGAAGCTTCAACAGTTGCAGATAAACTAGTTCATGAAGTCTTCTGTCGTTTTGGAGTACCTTTGGAGATTCACAGCGATCAAGGAATGAATTTTGAGTCTCAAATATTCCAGGAAACTTGCCGAGTTATGGGTACTCATAAAACAAGAACGACTTCTTATCACCCGCAATCTGATGGAATGGTAGAACGATTTAATCAGACATTGGAGAGGTACCTAACAAGAGTTGTAGACAATCGACAACGAGATTGTGACAAGTACATACAACCGTTTTTATTGTCATATCGAAGTTCTGTTCACGAAAGTACAGCAGTGACACCGGCTTTCGCAAACTTTGTAAGAGAATTACGGCTGCCTGCAGACCTGATCACCGGGATACCACCTGATACCCCACGCAATATAACCGATTATGCAAATGACTTGCGGAACAAAATGAATGACATTTATGAGCATGTCAGACAATCGGGCCAGCAAATGTCTGAGAAAATGAAAACCCGGTACGACCGCAAAATGAACAATAAAGGGTTCGACGAAGGTTCACTAGTGTCCAGTCCGCAGCAAAGGGAAATCTCCTAAGCTTCAAGCTAAATGGGACGGCCCGTACCGGATTGTGACCAGGATCAACGATGTAACCTACCGGATACAGAAAGGCGCAAGAGGGGCTCCTAAGATCGTCCATGTGGATCGCCTGGCGCGTTTTTATGGGGCCGATAATGCTCGGGACGAGGAGGGGGCAATCAAATCTTTCAACCGACAGCGCCATCTAGTCCCGAACCGAAGAACTAAACTTCTAGAAGTTGAAACTCGAACTCTCGGTACCTTGCGCGTGTTTACTTGAATATTCTGGATATTTCGGTGCTAATTTATATTTATAGGCGCTGCAAGATGCCATCGGGGAAGTATTGAAGTTGGCGAGACAAGCGAAGCTTCGGAGCGGAATAAAGTGAATCAGTGTGATTAATTATTAGTGTTTTTAACTTTAATTAGTGTAAAGTGAATTAAAGTGTTAATTTAGGTAATTCTATCGGCAATTTTTATTGTCACGAACCTCAAGCTCGTAACAGTATTATCGCCATAAGTAACGAGCGCCGGTGTGCTAACCAGTGTGGAGGAAGAAGCAAATTTAAATGCTCGAAGTGCAATGTAGGTCTTAACCCTAAGTGCCACGTGAAATACCATGTCACTACAAATTAAAATAATTTGTTTACTTTTGAATACATTTTTTGCTAAATTTTCTTAGTTTTATTTCATATTATAATTTAATCCCCTGCAGTATGAATAAATGTCCACTATGCATAGCGTTCGATTTATCAGACGGGCTATAATATCTAAGCCGTCGGAAAATTCAATTGTTTTTTGTCTTTAATCCTTCAAGCTTCTCCTAAATCATAATCCATAAAATAACTTTATGCGCTAATGGGCTAATTTGCATTATATAATTTTTCATTATGCTTTTATTAAATAACCATGGTTAGAATTGCAACTTTCACACTAATTGATTATTCTATATATATATATTTATAGAATATGGGTGACAAACGAGCACACAGTCTACATGCCGTGGCCCATAGACATGTACATATGTCACTACAATCTTCGATTAAGAATCATAACGCCTCTAATCATACTCCCCATGGTATATGCAAAATAATATGCAAAGAGATGCAACATATCTTCGCAGCGCCAGTGAAACGAGCCGATCGGAAAGCACAGTTTTAGTATTACCGCTATGGGACTTATAAAGGTAACCGTAGATGTGCGGATGGTCGTCGCTGTCTACGCGTAGCCAAAGGATGGACAGGTCCGAATCTTCAAGACTGCCGAGGCGTCGAGAACAGATAATCTCTGACGTAAACGCAAACTCCAGCCCGAGTTACAAAGGAGTGTTCCAGTTTGTACCCCGGGTAGGAGAGACACGAGACATCAGCCAGAGAGGACACCTGCGTCTCGGTCAGAAAGAGCAGAGCCGGCCTCGCCGTCTCGAGATGGTAGTGGACAGCGTTTAGGTTAGAGTGAAGTCCCCTGATATTGCAGAAATTCACGGATAGCGTGGCAGTGATCGCCTTGGTCTTGTTGCTCTGTTTGCCCCGAGCAGTTGTAGTCTTGAGCGGAATTTTGCCCCCCCCCCCCCAGAATATGCGGGGCAGCCTGAAAACCCACGCTCAGGAGTGGAGTAACTTGGTCGTGGATGCTCAGCGAGGGATTCTCCAGGGGTGCTGGTACCCTCTTGGGGTAGTCTCAAATTTAATTCCGCCACCATGTTGATTGGGGGGGGGGGGGGGGAATTGGGCACTGCACTCACCAGACGAAACGCGGAAGCAGAGCTTCCACTTCACGCCGGTATTCTGTGAGGTCGTGGTACCACCACGGTTTGAGCCGGCCCATACGTGCAACAGCAAAGCTGCCGCGTGGCTCTACCACTGTTAAACTTATACTGACTGTGAGATGGCGTTAGCAACAACGTAAAACAAGCTACTGAAGACTTTCATACCCTTGGCGCAGGTAGACGCAGACTCAACTGAGTGTGCATGTATAGTTGCCGACACGAAACGTGAGCACAGATGAGCTATGGTGGGGGTTGAGCCAGCGTAGGTACACGTAGGTACACTGTCGGTCAAAATTATAGCGTACTTCAATTCATAATTGAATATTTTCGCTGACTTTTTTTCGAAATTGTGAGTTGTTAACTCCTATAACTATACGCCGTACAGTAGCTACGTGGACATTAGTCGCCTCAGCAGTCAACGTCATAATATTTGAATATATTTTTATGAACAAAACAATCTTAATTTTTCTTGAAACTGGTAAACAAAAAAAAATTAACAACAAGAAATATCAAAAACAGTTAAAACAAGAAATACATAAACAACAATTAACAACGTGGTAACACTACAATTAACAAAAATAAACTAATTAAAAGTTATCACTATAATTGCTCTCAAGTGTATGGTAGTCGAATGATACGTGCTGGGTTCGCACGTATCATTCGACAATATACGACGAGAATCGGCTGACGAACCAATCACGTTGAGCGTCAGAGTAACCAATAAAAAGTGTGCTCACGACTCGTGCCGGCAATTATAACTACAGCGTTTGTGTGAAACGGACGCTACGTTGATTACGTGGACCAATAACAGCAAAGTCAAAATTTTAGGTATCGTTTGTTAAAAAAAATAGACTATAATCAATTTTGCAACATATTGAAAATGGGTAAAATTAAAAGTAACTCATAGTACAATGGAATAAAATAGAAGCTTAATGCTGCTGTTTCTTACGGTGAGTGTAGATAACTGGACACATTTATACTGGAAACAAGGTATTCAATCTAAGGTGTCTTTTATAGACCGTACTTTGATTATGCTCAGACTTAACTTATGAAAAACTTAGCTGAGCTTACGCATAACATAATCTTTGATTCAGAATTTATAGTCGTATCGGGCTAAGATTAAGCTATGTAAAGCTTATAAAATTCAAAAAATCTAATGTTTAAAAATTCAAAACAATCCAAAGTGTATTTCATAAATAAGTTATTATTACATAAAATAGAAAATGGGGGTGTTTAGAGATAAAAGTATATTTAACTAATTTTATTTTAAAATATGAGAAGGAAACATAATGTCTAAGTAATAAGATGGTGCCTCGTTTCCAGTAAAAGGGTCTCCGGTTCTCTACACTCACCATACAAAACACAGCAGCATTTAGCTGCTATTTTACGCTGGTATTCTGTGAGAGTGTGGTCCTTCTTCGGTCTAGCAGACCCATTCATGGCACAACTGTACTACTACTAATATAACTGCAGCCTGGCTCTACCATATAACTTAACTGTACTACCTTTACCCTTGTTTCATTTTCATCTGTTGTCCTTAACAACACCCACGGTATGATACATAGTAGTGGATTTTCTTACCTGTCTGGAAATACTTGATTGCATCTCTTGCATGTAACAATTTTAGGTTCCCTCAAAACATCATAATGTACACTTTCGTAATATTTCTCGACATCCTCCAAATTGTTCACTTCCGTTAATTTTTTCTCATTAGATGATTTATCAAAATTGAGTTTCACCTCATTGTTTTTACTATGTGAATTAACATAAGACTTACACTCATCGGCAAAGCCGTCTGGGATCACCGTACTGTACCTTCCAAATACATATTTATTTTTATACATTACACTATTGTCTCTCTCATCCGTGTTGTCAGACAGATAAGATAAGATGTTAATATTACATTTACTAACTTCAAGAGCTTTATTTAAAATTGGCTGATCAGATATGTCTATAGTGACCTTGCATTCTGTAGTTAAGTCGTCTAAGAGCTCGTTGATGTTTTCAAATTCTTCGTCATCTTCAAATCGTATTCTATTTTTCATTCTTTCCATTTTTGATTTAGATTTTCTTTTTCTTTCCATTATATTTATATGGTCAATTGCATTGTTACAATGTGGTAATGGTATATTTGGATGTTTCATTTGAATGTGATGTTGGAGATCATTTTGTGATGTGAAACAAAACTGGCATTCCTTGCATGTGACCACTTTCTGATTTATTAGAGGTATTATAATGTGGGTAGCATTGTGGACTAAGCTTTCGTATCTGTAAAAGATCATTTTAAATATTATTAATTTGACATATCAGATATTACTATATGTAAATGGTGTGGTGGCCATAATTACCACCAAAATTAATTTTTCTTTAATTTATCGTGGCATTGTCTATAAAGCCTTTAGCCTGAAAATAGCCATCATATCAACATTCAAATATGTTAACAAATTTATTCCCGATATACGAGATATACCACAAGAGGTGTTAGCATGGCGACGCGTTACACGCGCCCTATCCTCCGGGACTGCTGCCGAGGAGGGCCCACTATGAGACGGCCGGCGCTGGTGGGGATGCGGATGTTTTTGAAAGCATTCCCATGACCCTGCTAATATGCGGCGTATGTGGAACACCATGGGATTTTAGTCGGTGCGAGTCTGAGATAACCTGTCCTTGCCCCCGCGCGGAGGGTATATCTCCATGTTAGAAAAGGACGCTCTGATTCCCACCCTAAACGGATTCCCGTCTTGTTGTGACAGGGTGCTTAGTATGTGTATGCTGTGTTTACTATAGTAAGGAATCACTACACTTAGTTTAAGAATGGTGTAAATTGGCTTAGAAAGCCATATGAAAATATTAAATTAAATAATAGAAGAGGTTTGCTCCCCACAGTGCATTAAGAGCATGGAGGACACTTCCTTGCCATAAAACCCTCCGCGAAATGAGAGATCTGTTCCCAGAAGTAGAACATATTAAGACTAGTAACTTCAATTCAGGTGTTACTTTGCGGAAGATGCCTCGTGTAGAGACGAAACACGTGTCCTATTTAGCAGTTTCGTCAGTACGCTAAGATAGTGTCGATTACAAGGCGGTTTATTTTTTTTAACTATTTGTTAATTAAATCCTTGTTTTCCTATTCTAAGAATAAAATAGTATTATTATTTATAGTAAGTATTCTTATGGTTATTGTAATAAAATTCGAATATAAATAATAAACACAAGTTAGAAAGCAACCTTCATTAGTTTGGCACTTCGTTTTAAAATGCCAAATTTTCTTACTGGTGTAGGCCGCACGCGGCGACCTTTGACGTCGCAGCGGCGCCTTTGACAAGACGCGACACACACGTGCCAAGACGGCGCGACACAAAGTAATAGAGTAGTGGGGCTGGGCGGCTGGGATTAGTGGTGAAGGTAATAGTGCACGACTGAGGGAGGAGCGGTTGTGCTTTTGAAACTAGGTAAGAGACAATTTTATTATTTACGCGGATTTTAGCAAAATAATTTTAACGTTACTTTTTAAAATTATTCTAAAGTTATTTTTAAGTAACTATAATTCTTAAATGAAATATTCTACAAAATTAAATTTAATTTCACCTGTTATGTGACACCTTCTCGCAGAATTCGCAGCATTCAGCATATGTTTGGTACAGACTTCTGTTGGATCGAGACCAGTTATATCCATTTGTAGAACAGTATTTCAAAGGCACATCATCGTCACTTGAGGAGTCGTGTGTATTAATTATTTTCATCTAAAACACGTAAAAAGACTTGAATTAACTAAAATCTCTGAATCCTACATTCCATCAGTATATTCTCCCTTCTACTCTTTATTTTGCCTTTTGGCGGCTGCGTGAGAGAACCCATCAACCGATTTCGTCCCATAGATATCGTGAGAAAACATGGGATATGCCGAAAGGATCTTGTTCCCAATAAGCATTTTGACAATCGATGGATACAAATGGCTCAGGACCTAGCTTTTTGACATTCCATGAGGGTGGCCTGTTTTTTTATAGCATTGGATGACACATGAGCACACAGTCCACCTGACGGTAAGTGGATGCTGTGGCCCATAGACATCCACATTTATCCCCAATTAAATGTCCTGCCTCGGTCGAGCTGACCCATTCATGCTACAACTAAATATAGCTGCAGCATGGCTCAACCATGTAAAAACGTGTTTAGCGGTGGCTTTCTGATAGGCTGGAATGATGATGATTTAAACTTATTGTCATTAAAGAAACAACATTCATGATTTCTATATATTAAAAAAATATATTAAAATAGTTTTCCAAGAAAAGAATATAGATAGATCATTCTGGAGATGGGATGACATAAAAGCAGTAGCCAGCAACTAATGGTCTAGAATAGCTCGTAATAAAGATTTGTGGAGACAATTTGAGGTGGTGTTAAGAAGACAGGAATGTGAAGGCAATTGGGAACAGAAGTTTAATAGAAAATTAATCTTTTTTTTATAAATTTGTACAATTTTTTTTTATAAATGATGAACTTTAGTGCAATGATAATAATTGATTTGCAAACAACTTTATACCAAGGAGCCTAGCCTACAAATGCCTGGTCACCTTTGACGGTTAAGATGGAATGCCTTACTATCTGCAGAAAATAAAGTACACATATATTTTGATTTTTTGATACTTATTTAATATGTATGTGTCTATGAGGCCACAGTATTAATTTATCACCAGGCGGACTCTCCTTCATTTGACATTCTTCTTTAGAAAAATATAGCTACAACTTCAATTCATAAATTTAGGATAATACAAAAATTTTATCCAAGAAAGACCACACTCTCATTAAAATATTATTAAACCTAAACAATAGGTACAATTTAAGCTTATAAAATACACAAATCAAGAAAATCTACCACAAGCAACTGTTGGGAGGAAAATAGATTACTTTCATGTTTCTTGCTGCTTTTTCACATAACAATCTTTTTTGAGTTCAAAGCGATTTGTAAAGGCCAACTTTAAACAAAAATGAAAAAAGAAATATATATATATATATATATATATATATATATATATATATATATATATATATATATATATATCCTATACTATTAAATGAGCAATTCTTGTATATATATATATATATATATATATATATATATATATATATATATCCTATACTATTAAATGAGCAATCCTTGTATATATATATATATATATATATATATATATATATCCTATACTATTAAACGAGCAATCCTTGTATATATATATATATAATCGGGATCTCGGAAACGGGGATAATAAATCGATCTAGCTAGGATTTATTTTTGGAAAATGTCTTTTTGTCCGTGTTTTTAGGCAATGAAAAACTGCTACAATATCGTTAGAATAAGAAGGTAAATTTTGACAGATTGTTAGTGATTATAAATAGCTTAATTGGTATAATGGTCGGTCACAGAATCTTAAAACCCCAGTTCGAGCCTAGACCGACCGACCGACTTTTTTTAATTTTATTTTCATGTTCTTTTCTTTTTTGGAGAAAATCTATTTTTTTCGAGCCCTTTTTTTTAGTATTTTTTAAAAACACGAAAATTTAAATTAAAATAATTGCACTCATGATTTTTTATTCAAATAACCAGTTCCGTTTTTTCTGTTATGTTGCTAAGATCAAAAAATATTATTTATATTTCATCAGTATGTAATTTGTATCTAAATATAATTTCCAAAACACACGAATTAAAAAAAAAATCGAGCGAAAAATACCGAGCAAAGCTCGGTCTACCAGGTACTATATATGTGTGTGTGTGAAAATCCTAGTGTGGAGGAAACATTTTAAAAAAAAAGAAAAAATTTTTCATAACAAGATGTGGCCATGTTTTGTTTTGTTTTCACACTAGGATTTTCATGGGAGCAGTTTCCAATAATAAATACAGCAGCATTAAGCTACTATTTCACGCTGGTATTCTGTGAGAGCGTGGTCCTTCCCCGGGTCGAGCCGACCCATTCGTGCTACAACTATACAATTAATATAGCTGCAGCATGGCTCTACCACGTAAATTTACGTAAATTTATTACCACGTAATTTTTACGTAATTATTGTTCCCTATGCAATTTGAACCCTTAGCACTGCATCACATTGCTAAGCCATTGCACCGTCAAATAAAACTAAGATTATTTTGGTCTTGGAGGAGGAAATAAATGAATATTAGATGACTGTTTTATCAATTTTTCAGTTGGCCACTGTCGGGATGATTTGTCATAATTGTCGTGAGTGTAGAGAACCGGAGAACCTTTCTTTCATACATGGAATATTTCCAGATAAATTAAAAACATCTACCACCGCACTTCTGCTCCACGCCTCCGGAGTAGTGCCACCATGGAGGACGGAATTGAAGAGCCTCTGAAAGACTTCATCTCCGAATGTCATGGATGTAGGGTAAGCATTAATGTTTCATGGTGAACACAATCGAAGGCTTTGACGACTAGACGGCAACTATGCCAACATCGAAGTAACGCTGTATATTTTTTATTATATCATTTACCTAAACTAACCTAACCTAACCTAAATCGCGTTCAATTAACCTATTTTTTGCAAGCCTATTAATGCTGGTGGATGGTAAAAATTGACAAACCAAGGCCCAAAACATTGGCAATTAATAGTTCATTTAGGGAAGAGCGAGTGCAAACATAATAACTCAACAATAAGGTGGTCCAAAAGGGCTCATAATATGAATTGTTGCTTGCACAGGTTCATATTATGAGCCCTTTTGGAAACCAGCTTGTTGTTGAGTTATTATGTTTTTGGTTTGGGCAGTGTGACTACATTAGAACTTTATTAAAAACCCGTTCTTTAAATGTCTAATATATTCGTTTTTGTTTTTGATGTATAGTATGAATAAAAAAAACCATAAATTAAACAGCATGTTTGTAATTGCTAACAGGATTATTAACTTTCTTAGATCAAAGAAAGTAGTTTCTGAGCTATTTCTTGTAAAATAAGATGGGAGCCCCCCACTTCCCATACTATTATAATTTAATTGGCAACTCCAATTGTTAATCACAAAAAGTTGAATTCTTATTTATTTTTTTGTTAGAATAACTATTGCCACTACGAATATTAAGAATTTAAAGTACATAGAAAAACTTATTATTAGCGTCTAAGCAACTGGCGTAATAAAATCTCTGGCTGTCGTCATAAACAATTATGGAACTATAAGTCAATGTTATAGGTGGCACTATTACCGTTATGAGTAATCGTGGCACCTTAACCACCAAATGAACAACTTGCGCTTTTCATCACCATAAATTAAATATCTGTACTAAAACAATTAATACTTCTGTAAAAAAATCTAAATTTCGTAAAAGCACAGAAAAACTTACATTCTCCAAGTGTGGTAAAATAAAACGAATAGACCGTTTAAGATTCAAGTTTTACTTTTATAGCGTATGTAGATATTTCAAGAGATATCAACGAAGAAACTTGATACACATAATTTCTAACAACATGTTATGAAAATTAATATTAATTTAATAACTAAATAAATAAGACATAATACGAAATTTATAAAAAATTTACGAAAAATTTATGACTGATTGTTGATGTTTTTGCTTAAAGGCAAAGGAATCGACGCTCATGCAGTCTAATCGTGTTTTTATTCACAAAATTCTTTAAATTATGCTGATGCTTGACATGCTTGACTGCCAGCGCATTGCTGCTAATGTATTATCTGCTTAATAATGGTTGGAGTGAATTTTGTCATGCAATTTTGTGCTTTAAACGTCATCACACGGACAGTCGTCTCACGGACGTTGTAGCAATAGGACGCGCTGCTTTTTAACGAAAAAAATATTCGATATACCCTCAACTTAAAAAAATGGTTAAATGTATCAAGTCCTGGACTGCCGTGTTCAAAGTGTGGCAAGTGGCTTCATGCGTCATGTGCTAACATTTTAATTGATCATCTGACGGCTCTGTCAGGTACGGAAGCTGTAGACTGGATGGAAATGTAAGGCATGTGTAGGGTCGCAGAAACCGAAGCGCCTCTCCTATATTATACCCGACCCTGAGGAAGATGACGGTGAAACATCTGAAGCAGAGGGATCAATTAATGCTGTTTCGGGGAGATCAATTGATAATAAAATGCTGCAGCCAGTTCTGCAACAATTACGGACTGAAATCAGAAATATTATTCCAGAAGAATTGCAACAAACATTAAAATTTTATTCTGACAAAATTGATGAATTCAGTGTAAAAATTAACAACTACGAGACTAACGTAAAAACGCTAGAGAAACAGTGTATTGATTTAAAAAGCATCTTAAAATATTAATCTTAAATGTAATGTACTAGAGAGTAAAATAAATCTAATAGAACAAAAACAACTAATATGGTGGGAAAAACGCTAGAGAAACAGTGTATTGATTTAAAAAGCATCTAAAAAAATATTGATTTTAAATGTAATGTACTAGAGAGTAAAATAAATCTAATAGAACAAAAACAACTAATGTGGTGATGTTAAGGAATTGGCTAGTGAAGATCCGGTGAATATAGCTAAACAGGTAGCTACAAAGTTGCAGGTAAGCCAAAATGACATAATTAAGGCACACCGTAAGAGACAAAATCGCGCTGTGACTTCACACCGGATAGAACATTAACCAATAATTGTTACGCTGCAAGATGGAGCACGAGACATCTGGCTGAATAAAGCCAAGGACCTAAAAATGACAGCGGCCGAACTAGGATTGCAAGGCGATATGGTGTATTTACGCAAATCAATAGCACCCGGGATTGCATTTTTATTATGGAAGACCAAGGAAGCCCTTAAAGATACTTACAAATTTATATGGTGCAGAAATGGCACAATTCTAATACGCAAAGAAGAAAAGGCGAAAATAATCTCCATACGCACTCTTTTTGAATTAGAATCGGTTAAGGTCTCGCAAAACAGACTTATTAATTAAACAAGGAACCGTTTTAATTAAGTGTTAAGTGCTGGAAAACATTTTTTTTCTCTTACTTTCTCTTTTATATTTTTTGTTAAATATTGCTTTTGTGTATAATCAATATCATTTTATACCTTAGATAATGGATATTGTAGGAATAGAACATAATATAAATCCCAACATTATTGAGTTAAACTGTGATAATTGGAATGAGTTTGCGGATAAACTACCCATAAATAATTGTTCGCTTCTGTTTTTACATGTAAATATATCATCATTACTTAAGAATTTTGCACATCTGGAATATATAATAAAAAATACTTTAATTATATGAGTAATAAATCGTACATATGTAATTTCTATGGAGCAAGAAAGTCCGCCCATCTTGTACCTACTTTTATTAATGAATTGCCAATAGAATTACGAGAAACTTACGGTAAATCCAAACGGTTTAAAAGTAAACTTAAATCATATTTGTTAAATCAACCATCCTTATTGTAGTAGGTATTTCTGTTGGGGGATAAGTCGCTCGCGTCCGTAGGCTTTGACCACCTGTTCCTAGGCCCACCCTACACGTGTCCCCCGGGTGGTGCTAAATGAGCGACAAGCCGTACAGACTCGGCTCCACGCCGTGGTAGCGGGGTTAAATATACCACCCCATTTCGCACCATGAGGAATCGAATTAAAGAAATGGCCCCGAGTTCCCGGCGCCCCTTTAATGGGGCAGGGGTGCGAATAATCTCCGGGAGGAAAACCGGCAACGAGGTTCGCCACTCGTCACGTTCTGTCTCTCGGAGAGGCGAAAAGTGGATTGCAGAGGCCCGTCTGGCTACGTTGAATGTATGTGGGGCAATGAATGATAAAATGGTGAAGTATGCGATATGATGTATGATAGAGGAATAGATGTGTTATGCGTAAATGAGACGAAAAGGAAGGGGAAGGATGTCACTACACATGGCATGTATACCGCATACTGGTCTGGTGTAGACGAGATCGAGCGGGCATGCCGGGGAGTAGGTATCATCCTTTCAGAAAGAATGGGCCAATGTGTGAAAGAGTATGAATGTGTAAGCCCAAGACTGCTATGGATACGAATGAAAGTGGGTTTAAAGAAGTTGTTTGTGTTAGGGGTCTACGCCCCAGACATGTCTAAGCCCACTTATATCCGAGAGCAGTTTTGTGAAATGGTAAGGATGGGGTTAATGAAGTGTAAGGGAAATGAAAATATTATTATGCTAGGAGATTTTAATGGAAAGGTTGGGGTCAGGAGGCTTGGTTATGAAAGGATATTGGGAACGTTTGGTGATAAAAGTATAAATGAGAATGGTGAAAGTCTCCTCACCGTATGTATGGAAAAGAATCTTTTTGTGACGAACACTTGCTTTCGCCACAAGAGGATTCACATGTATACTTGGGAAAGAGGTGACCATAGAAGCATGATATATTTCATAATTGTGGATGAAAGATTGAGGGGCGCAGTGGTAGTTTATCGGGGTTCTAACATAGGAACGGATCATTATTTAGTTTTATGCCGAATCAATGGTCTATTCAGGCGTTGGCGCCGTCGATCGTCTGTGTCTACCACTGCGTTACAGCGTATTAGAACAGAAAGATTACAAGATGAAAGTGATAAAAACAAGTTCAAATGTAGACTGAAAGAAAATATAAGTGGTTTGGATGAATTATGTATGAAGGAGTTAGACTTTGAGAATATATGGCAAAATGTAAAGAAAAGTTTAGTGGATGCAGCTACCGAAGTATGTGGTGTTAGTAAGAGAAAGAATCAAAGGAAAAATAATACGTTATGGTGGGATGATGATATACGTATGGAAGTTGAAGCAAAGAAGAGAGCATGGCTAGATTTACTAGCAACAAAGGCTGCTAATTCTAGTGGTACGAATGGTGATTTTGAAAGAAAAAAGAGCAAGAAAGAACGGATAAGAATAATAGAAGAATATCGGATAATTTCCAGGCAAATATTAAAATGTTCTGGAAACTTGTAAGAACTGCCAGGGGACATTCAAAACAGCCTATGATGAATGCTATAAGAGACGAGAATGGCTATATTCTGAATGATGAAGTTTTGAGTTTAAAGAGATGGAAGGAATATTTTGAAAGCGTGTTTATGAGTGAGGAGACAACGTGTGTACTAAGTGAAGTAGAAACACCGAAAGAAGAGGAAAGAGGTAGCGAGATAAGTATAGATGAAATAATGAAAGCAATGAAAAGCATAAAAGCAGGTAAGGCAGCCGGATATGATAGAGTTTCACTCGAAATGCTAAGGGCAGAAGAGGAATTGGTGGCAGGTCTGCTGTACACCTTGATTATTTTATGTTTTGAACTGAAGCGGGTACCAGTAGACTGGTGCAAAGCCGTGATAGTCCCAGTATGTAAAGGAAGAGGGTCGCAACAGGACTGTAAAAACTACCGTGGCATCAGCCTTCTTAGCATTGTGGGAAAACTGTATGCTAAGGTACTGAATGAAAGGGTTATAAAAGAAACTGATGGAAAAATTTGGGAAGTGCAAGCGGGATTTAGAAAGGGAATGGGATGTACAGATCAAGTCTTTTCCATGCGCATGATCGCGGAGAAGTTTCTGGCCAAAAACCAAAAGGTTTTTTGTGCGTTCATGGACTTGGAAAAGGCCTATGACAGAGTGGATAGGGATTTGCTATGGCAAACACTGAACTCATTTGGGTTGAGCGCTGGCTTGATAAAGGCATTGGAGTCTCTAGTGCTTGTGTTAGGATCAACGGGGTCTACTCGGACTGGTTTGACATCCATAAAGGTGTCGGACAGGGCTGTGTGGCTTCCCCGTGGCTGTTCAACCTATTTATGGACAGTTGTTTGCAAAATTTGAAAGTTGAAGAATGCGGATTAAGAATGGGTGAGTTAACCGTCAAATGCCTTTTGTACGCCGATGATCAAGTTATTCTTGCGTCGTTGGCGGCCGAGTTGCAAATGATGGTTACATTAATGAACGGATCATTAAAAGAAAGGGGTATGAAAGTGAATGCAAGTAAGACGAAGGTTATGGTTTTTGAAAGAGAAGAAAGTAAAACGATTTGTGAAATAAGAATAGAAAGGGAGTTGATCGAGCAAGTAGATGAGTTTGTATATTTGGGCTGCGTATTTAGCAGGGATGGAAGATATGATAAGGATATAGAACGACGAGTGAATGCGGGAAATAGAGTAAATGGGGCCTTGCACTCTATTGTATCATGTGTCGAAAAAGGCACGTATGGCAATTCACAATGCTGTGTTGGTCCCTACTTTAACGTATGGTAGTGAAAGTTGGGTGTGGCAGAAGAAGCACGAGAGTAGAATAAACGCAGTAGAAATGCGGTCGTTAAGGCGTATGTTAGGGCTGAATCTGAATGACAGGGTAAGAAATTGTGTAATAAGAGAAGAGCGTGGTTTGCAAGATGATGTTGTGACCAGGATTAAGAAAGGAATGCTTCGGTGGTTTGGTCATGTGGAAAGAATGAATGAGGAAAGAGTGACAAAGAAAATTTATGGTGCAGAAGTGAATGGCAGAGTCAGAAAGGGACGTCCTAGGTGAAAATTTATCGACCAAATTGGCGATTTATTGAAAACGGGCCAAATTAGGAGTACCCTTAACCGACAAGCATGTATGCGTAGGTGTATGGATGTGAAGGAGGCAAGAGAGGTGTGTCAGGATCGTGTCAAATGGAAGTCTGTAGTCTCTGCCTACCCCTCTGGGTGACAGGCGTGAGTGTTTATATATATGTATGTACTTCTGTTAGAATAATGTGATTTAATATTAATACATCTTTGTTTATATAAGACGATTCTCTAGCGTAGATAAACCCCCAGAGGGTCTTTGCAAAGTTTGACATCTGGTGTCAAATTCCATACATTTAGTTTGCAACATTTTCCGCGAGACTTCCTACGTGAACCGAACTGTAGTCGGGTATAGTTAATGTGACCATTTATTTTTTGACTCAAAACGGGACATAATCGGATCATATTCAATTTAAAAAAAAACAACACTTTTTTAAAGTTATTTATTCAGAAAAATTCAGTTAGCTTAAAAGTTACGAATTAAAAATATATACATATATACACCCGAAACGTTTAGTTATATATACATTTCTCACAGAAACAAATTTGCTTAAATATAACTGGTGGTGATTTTAAGTCAAAATCAAACTCTTGGCACTTTTTTTTTATATTCGCCGAAATTATCAACATCGCCTTTAAAACTGAAATTTGTAATTGGGTTTTGGGATGTCTACAATTTGTTAATCATAGAAAATACTCTTTTTACTCGAGAATTTGTAGCAGACAAATAAAAAATATATTCAATTTTTTGTTTGTCTGCTACAATTTTTCAATTTTGAACTTATGCTGACCTCTCACCCGGACGGATATCAGATTTCCGTCGACGCCCCATTAGGCTCCTCGAACCATTGTCTTGTCCGGAGTGTGGTGCCACTCACGCTGAAATCGCAGTTGCATTCAGCAGGCTGCCGCCGTGTTTGGCACTATAGGTCAGCCGATTAGGATAGGATGCAGTCTTTCTTTGCATCCTACCCTTGGGGGGCGGGTTTGCTTCTTGCCGGAATGATCCCAACGTTGTTGCGGCTTCAGTTGTTGATGTGGTACTACAGGGTATGGAATTTTTTATTCCTTCCTCTGTGGTGCCCATCGGAGGCAAATCTCAACCATGGTTTGGTCGCTCCTGTAAAATAGCGTCATGCTATAAATAGGAGTGCTACCAAGTCTGGGCTGACGCATAAACGTCCCGTGCTGTAAACACCAGCGATCTAAAAAAGAAGTATAATTCGGCCTCCAGGCGACCGTTCAGACCCGTCCAACTACAGGCCAATCGCCATCACCTCCCTGTTCTCCAAAGCAATGGAGTCCATTGTAAACTGCCAGCTCATGAGGTACCTTGAGGATCACCAGCTGATTAGTGATCGCCAATACGGTTTTCACCGTGATCGATCAGCTGGTGATCTTCTGATCTACCTAACTCATAGATGGACGGAGGCAGTAGAGTCCAAGGGGGAGGCGTTGGCCGTTAGTCTGGACGTTGCGAAGGCCTTCGATCGGGTTTGGCACAAAGCGCTTCTTTCGAAGCTCCCTTCCCGAGAAATTGTGCAATTGGATCGACAGCTTTCTTGCAGATCGGAGCATGAAGGTCATTGTAGACGGTGCAAGCTTCGATTACAAGCCTATTAATGCTGGTGTTCCACAAGGCTGCGTGCTATCGCCAACGCTGTTTATTCTGCATATCAATGATATGTTGTAAACCTGTAACATTCATTGCTATGCAGATGACAGCACTGGTGATGCTCTGTACACCGGCCGTGTCAATATTTCTCGGGAAAACGTCTCCGAGTACCGAGATAAACTTTTGTCCGAAGTCGAGTCTTTGCTGAACAAAGTCTCGGATTGGGGGCGACTAAATTTAGTCCAGTTTAACCCTCAGAAGACACAAGTTTGCGCGTTAACCGCTAAAAAGAACCTCTTTGTCGTATCTCCTCAGTTTCAAGGCACTCCCCTTGTTGCCTCAGCCAGTATCGGAATCCTCGGCGTTCACATAACGAGTGACATGCAGTTTCGTGGTCACTTGGAAGAGAAAGTTAAATTGGCCTCTAAAAAGCTTGGCGTGCTCAGCGAAGCGAGACAGTATTTCATGCCGGCACACCGCCTACAACTTTACAAGGCGCAGGTTTGGCCGCACATGGAGTACTGTTCCCATCTCTGGGCTAGGGCTCCCTAGTGCCAGCTCCTTCTACTTGACAGCATCCAGCGCAGAGCGGCTCGAATCGTTGACGACCGAGTGCTTTCTGATCGGCTCGATTCACTGGCGCTGCGAAGACATGTTGCATCTCTTTGCATTTTCTTTCGCATAATACCACGGAGAGTGCTCTGAGAAATTGTTCGGATTAATCACAGCCGCCAAATTTCGTGAACGCACTACGCGGCAAACGTCGCGATACCATCAACAACCTCTGGATGCTTGGCGGTCCACCACTGTACGTTTCACAAGGAGTTTTCTTCCGCGTACGACCTCTCTGTGGAATAGTACCACCGGCGATTTTTCCGGACTGATACAACCTAGTGACCTTCAAGAAAAGAGCTTACTCCTTTCTAAGGGGCCGGCAACGCACTTGCAGTTCTCCTGGTGTTGCGGTTGATCATGGGCGGAGGTAGTTACTTAACATCAGGTGAGCCGCATGCTCGTTTGCCCTCTCTTCTATAAAAAAAAATAATAGAAAAAGTTTTCATGCTGAAGATCATTGGCTTGAAAGTATTTGAATACTTCCACCCAACGAGTTTCCGTGGAAACATTTAAAATGATCCATTCGGTTACTTTCTGCGATGTAATGTGGTTACAAATTAATGAAATATTCGTCAAAAACTTTTGTAACTTTATTACAGTCAACATAATCCTTTTCAATTAATACACCCGGAGATTTTTGAACGTCTTCCCACGCGGGAAACTTTTTTAATTATGCCCAATAAAATATCCTTATTTATTTGGTAAGAAAACAAGTCCACTGCGGACCCTTAATGCGCAAACGTAACACTCATCTGGGAAACTCCGCCCAGAAGTAAAATTGCTCACGGCCAAGCAACTCTTTCTATTCCTTGAAGACATAGGGCTTGGCGGTGAACTATAACCAAAGCAGCGATTACAATAGATCTTTTAGGTTGCAGTGATACTGTTCGCTTTCCCTAGACCTGCATAGCTGCTCGGACATAATTAAAGTCCACTGCTTCAAATATTCACGGCTTGGAATATAAAGTCCTATAGCCGCCCTTTTCACCAATTCTTCAGCTATGTCAGTAACATTATCTTTCGATTTCTTATATTTACGCGAACACTACACATTGATTAAAACTGCTTTTACGGATTTTATCGCGTTTTATTTATTTTAAAATATGTTAAATAAATAAAACGCGATAAAATCCATAAAAGTTTTAATCAATTATCTTTCGACTTCACTTTTTGATGAACCGTAAATGGAAGAAACTGATTGGTCTATTTCTCAGTGAAATTGTCTTTTAGTTGATTGATTTTTTTGCAGCTTCAATAGCCTATACAGTGTGAACTTCGAGTTTCAATACAGAATGATGAAAACTTGCTGACTGAGCATGTAAAATAAAAAGCCATAATTCGGATGTGGGATCTTAAAAAAAGTTCTTCAATAACAACACAAATTTCCGCGCGGTTTCAGAAAACGGGACAATTTTGCGTCCCAGGGTTCATTTCGGGGACACCGGGACTCGAACTATAAAAAGGGACAGTCCCGTTCAAAACGGGACGTCTGGTCACGTTAGGTATAGTGTTCTGTGAGTCGGGTACTCAGTTTTGGATAAAAAAAGATAATTTATCACGTAGACCATAGAGGACGTAGACAGAGAATGCTAGGATTCTCTTCTACGATTTATCAGCAAGGAGTAATACGTAGACAGAGAAACCTATAGACAAATTGACGCCTTCTTTCGCATTCGCACACGAAAAAGATAGATTTATGCATACGTCTTGCATAGAAATGAGATAGAGCGGTGTGATTGTTTATCCCTTTCACCGTGCCGGTTTTTTTGAAAACAACTTTGAAAGCGTAGCGATTTAAGGAATTTACAAGTTGGTTTAAGTGAGAAAAAAGTGTTTTGTGAGCCTAAGATTGGTGAATCTTGTTCAGTTCAGTTCTTAGAACAATTAAATTTTTTATCTAAATGTGTTTAAAAGTCATAAAGATTATTGTATAACCTAAAAATTCGTTATCGTCCTTTCTCACTCGAGGCCACGCCGATCATTAGTCTATAGGTTTCTCTGTCTACGGAGTAATAGTGTTCTGTGTTTATCAGCTGCAGTCAGCTGTCACATGCGTAGTATCTTGCTACATATTTATTTATCTATGCGTAGTATCCTCTTAGTAGTCTGTGGCTGTCATATCACCGCTGTCACTGTCACCATATCAATCGGAATCGGCAGTGTATGAATTATGAAATTATTATTCTAACATAAATAAGTTTTACTATTGCTTACTTATGAACTCTATATCGTCAACAAAATGGTAAGTTGTTTTGCGGGTGGCATTACCTCTAAATTATTTGGATGGAGAAATAAAATCAATTTATAATACAGGATATAAAAACTTTTGCGGAAGAAAATTTCGATCCCAAAAAGTGGATTAACAAGGCGTGGAGTGCAAGTGGTAATCAAGAGAAGGAGGTAAAAAATTCTTCATTACACCTTTAAGCCGGTAAGTGAAGTGTAGAGCGGCCCCTTACAAAATTGAATAGCGACTTGGTAAGACATACAGCAAATTGATGATTGTTGATGCAAGACACCAATGTTCATTTGTGAACAGGTGAAGGGCTGTAATGATGATGATATAAAGTTACCTATTTAATTAATATAATCAGGCATTTTTTCATTTGCGGAAATCCATTATAGTGCATTGGGGTAAGAACGGTGATGGGGTAAGACCATAAAATTCAAATTTCCAATGAATTATGCTATATTTTTGAAATCTAGCAATATGGTACAAGACTCCATTTTATTCTGCCCCGACCCCAAGTTTCAGCCAGTCGCTCCAAAAAGTAGGGCGTGTGCTGCACAGTATTTTATAAAACAAGGTAATTTTTGTATTTTTTTCGTCCGTCCGGTCTTTCCCTATCACTTTTATTTGAGATTTTTAGCGACGTCCGGTTTTCCCCTTGATGGCCAATTCTTCATCATGCATATAAAAAATTATGCCTTGTCTTCGCACACGTTTTAAGCAGAAACTGTTGAGTTTTGAAAAGTAAAAGCTTTTTATAGCTAAATTACGTGTAACCATTAACGATTTGCGCCATGTTTCAGAAATCTGACGTATATGGATGTCGAGAAAATAACGCACAACGCACCTTATATTAAAGTTAATAGAACTTAATTTGCTTATGTCCTCGTATGACATAAAATGATGTTTCATACCTAGTTTGAATACCTCCCATCCTCCCTAATAACTCCATAATTGTGGAAGGACACACCACTGTGCTATAAAAAAAATAATATTTTATGTTATCTCTATTTAAATTATACAAGCAAACTTTTGTAGTTTCAAATATAAAATAAAATGCTACTTCATCCCATGCTTCACTATTTTGTATATAATACAATTTTACACATGATAGAACCACCAAGCATTTTTTGTAAAGTCAAAAAACTGATTCTGACTGAACTTTATGATATCTCGTAAACTTTAAGAAATGTAAAAAAAGGTTCAAACAAAACTTTTTGGGTTTTAATTTTACACATAAAAAAGATAAGTTTTGATGCAAAATTGATTTTTAACATGCTTATATGCTTATTGTTTTTTAATCTTACAAAAAATAATAAATTTCATCATTTTTGCATATTGCACAGTTTTAGAGGCAATAGCAATAACTGACTTATTTCCTGTTATATTTGCGGATGGTGCGTTTCGGCAATTAGACTACTTACTTGCTCACTGCCTACAATTGTAGAATTGCAGTTATTTTTATTTATGTTCTGTCATTGAAGTTGCAAGTAAAAATGAAAAAAAAATGATTGTAAGAACTCTGTCAAACTACCACAAATTATCCGTAAGAACCGTCTAAGTACAAAAAACATTATATTCCAACGAGTTATCCAATATGAATAATTTTCTTTAAGATACACAACAATGTTTTTGTGACAATTGTTGCACACATTCTTTGTATCATAACATCATTATTACATTTATGTACCTACAAGTTCACTTCTGAACATAGAACCAAGAATGCTACATAAAATGTACTGAGCCACCTACAACTAAAACATTTCCCCCTCCCATCCATAACCAATTAAAGGGGATTTATTTTTTTAGTTGAATTGTCATGGTGTTGCCGCTTGCACATGTGACACATGGCACATGGCTTGAGAATGTGTTAAATTTGGTATTCTTCCACTCATTGTGCTACTTGTCTGGGCTTTCCTAATTACTATTACTATTCAAGAGTCTTCCACATCCGCACTGTTAACTGCAGTTTTTTATTATTTCGAGTTGTGCTGTTTCATTTTCATCCATCGCCATTTACAACACTCACAGGTTGATATGGCGTAGTATGTTTTCAGATTTATTTTCTACTTGCAGTTAGACAATTGATATAACTGGGAACTTGCATTCAGGGGCTACTTATTAGCTGAAACCTGAGTCTTTCAGATTTTAAATGTTGACTGTAATCATTTTATTACTGTTATCATGCATAATCAACTTGAATAACATATTTCCTTTCGATACTATTTACTAGTGAATTGTTTGAAAATTCAGTAAGAACCGAAACACCTGGCTCGAAGGACCAAATCAATATAATAATATATTTTGGTATAGTGATGCCCCAAAACTGCACAAGAGTAAAATTCCAAAGTCCCATATAATTTTGGGCGTGGTCTTTACATACATATATACTGAGGCAATGGTAGATTGTGATGTTATATGAGTTGAAATAGGTTTAAATGAAATATTTAATTTTAATTTGTATCAAATTTGGAGGCATTAAATAATGGCTCATCATCATTATTACAGCCCTTCTTAGGTTCACTGATGAACATAGACTCCTCCAAGGAATGCCACAAAGCACGATCCTGATTAACCTGCATCCATCGAATTTCTGCAAGTCTCCAGGTCGTTACTCCATCTAGCGGAAGGCCGCTCTACACTTCGCATACTGGTACAGGGCTGCCACTCGATAACCTTCTTTTTCAGATATTTGTCACCAACACCGTCACAAGATTGCAGCTCTATATGAAGCAGTTAAGTAATTCGTTGGACGAAACAACGACGCAAGTAAGTTATCGAACTTCTTCTTCTAACTAAACTAATATAAATATCTTGTCTTACAATATATTTATATTAGTTTAGTTTTTCCTCGAAGTATTTCTATTTACTGCTAGATTTTTTTATATGAGGGGGCAAACGAGCATGTGGCTCACCTGATGGTTAGTGACTACCGCAGCCCTTTCAAAAAAGAGTAGCCTCTTTTCTTGAAGGTCCCTAAATCGTGTCAGTTAAGAAAATCATTTAACTAAGTATTTATAATTTGTAATATATATCTTTTATATAAATATATTTAATTTTGCATTGAATAATGTATGAAATACCCAGAGCCCGATTACTATAAAGGCAAAGTCAGATACTGGGCCCCAGGACCTTAAAAAATCAATTTTACGCGTGGCAAAGGAAGTTGAATTAGCATTTTTACGAGCAATATAGAAATTTGATGAGACTTACTAATAGTCCTGTCAATATTTCATGATACATTTCAATAATCTTAACTTAAATTTTTGAAAATGGACCGTGATTCTTTAAATTTTAAGTTTGTTTATAAAGCAAGCTGTATTTCACTTTCATACGCAAATTAATATATGAAACACAGATATCTTTTATATAAATACCTAAATGCTTTTTTACCTTGACATACACTCTTCAGACTATTGAAAAAGAAAGAAAGAACCGTTTATTTGATAATCACATTTTTCAAAGAAATATAAATAAAATACAAAGGACAAAATATGCAAGCACAGATGTAAGGCTGCTGTACGACGTTTATTAACAATGAATGAAAAAGGAAGGATTTAAAATCATACAAAAATCACCGCTCATTCGCCAGTTTGTCAGTAGTTATTTTGGCAAAATTTTAAAATTATTTTGTCAACAATCTACTCTGTGCGACTGCTTAATCACATATTATTACGTGTTTGACATTCGCAGTATGAACGTAAACAATGAATGTTTTGGTTTATTTAATTTATTGTATTTGTTACACATATTATAGGAGAATATCATGGCTCGAATAACCATAGTATTCCTGCCCACACGAAAAATACGCGCTAAGACGTGGAGTTGCGGAAAACAGCCTGTCGTAAACTAAACTAAACTACACATACTATATATAAATTTTAGCTTTCTGCACTCCTTTTTTGTATAAGCTTTAACTACGCCAAATCCCACACTGATCCGTGTGCGCAATATTCTTAAAAAGGAATACATAGCCTCGAATCGTCGACGCCCGAGTGTTTTGCGATCGTCGACCGGCTCGATTCACTGGCCCTGCGAAGAATGTTGCATTTCTTTGCATATTCTTTCGCAAAAAAAATCGCCAAATTTTATGAACGCACTACGGCGGCAAAACTCCCGATCCCACTGTACGTTTCACTAGGAGTTTTCTTTCGCGTACCACCTATCTGGGGAATAGTTTACAACCGGCGATTTTTCCGGACCGATGCGATTTAGGGACCTTCAAGGAAAGATATACGTGGTAGAGCCATGCTGCAGTTATATTAGATGTATAGTTGTAGCACGAATGGGTCGGCTCGACCGGGGAAGGACCACGCTCTCACAGAATACCAGCGTGAAATAGTAGCTTAATGCTGCTGTACTTCGTATGGTGAGTGTAGAGAACCGGAGACCCATTTTACTGGAAACGAGGCATTCCATCTTAGTCCTCACGGGTGACAACGCATCTGCATTTTGATTCGTAACGAGGATAGATGTAGATGTCTATGGGCCACAGCAACCACTTACCATCAGGTGGACTGTGTGCTCGTTTGTCACCCTATCCTATATAAAAAAAAGAGCTTACTCCTTTCGGTAAGGTCGGTAAGGTAAAGGCCGGCAACGCACCTGTAATTCACCTGGTGTTGCGGTTGATCATGGGCGGCGGTAGTCACTTAACATCAGGTGAACCGCATGCTCGTTTTCCCCCTCTCCTATAAAAAAACATAGTTTTCTCTTCACATCAATATATGAATGATGAATTTTTTTCCTATATAAAAGTATTAAATCTTCTCTATTGCAGATCGTAAATTCAGCACCTAGATTGTTTCAAGACGCATCCAGTCTGCAGTTAGAAGGCGCCCTGCTTCAGCAGAAACTTCTTACCCTCGAACAACAAGTCCAGGGAGTTGAGCAACAGACTGGTCAGTCCATAGAGAGCTTGCAAAGAATTGACCGGTTGAAGAGTCGATTGGAGGTCTGTGGTATTTATAATTTCTTTATACATACATAAACACTCACGCCTGTCACCCAGAGGGGTAGGCAGAGACTACGGACTCCCATTTGGCACGATCCTGACACACCTCTCTCGCCTCCTGCACATCCATATATCTACGCATACATGCTCGTCGGTTAAGTGTACTCTTAATTTGGCCCATTTTCAATATATCGCCAATTTGGTCGATAAACTTTCGGCTAGGACGTCCCTTTCCGACTCTGCCGTTTACTTCTTATATTATTTTTTTTATTATAAGCTAGTGTTTAAATATATCTCTGAGATTTAACTGAATATGGTTAAGCACACTTGAAAAGTGACATTGTAATCGGACGAAGCGACAGATTCCTTTAAACGGAACCGTTTTGTTTGAATGCATCGCATGTCGACGACAAATAGGAGGATACTGATCGAGCGTGTGGTTGTACGATGGTAGAAGGGAGAGGGAGATATTGAGCAGTTCTTATGCACACACTGTGAAACATATCCTGCAGGACACCAAAAGGCTTTAAATTAATTAAGTTATGTCTTTTATTAAATAGCGCCTCACTGTTTAGTGCCGGCGTGAATGAGTCCACCACCCCATATTATCCTGCGGGAATCTTGAGTGGTGACAGAGGGACACTGAAACAGAAGATGGGCTACATCATCTTCCTGATGACAATTTAAAATAATAAAAAACTGCGATTGCCAAACCGCTAATGCAAAAATCTAAGACCATAGATAGACTGTAATGAATGACAACCAACAAAAAATTACCTTTTCAGAATGCCGCATCAGCTCTCCGCGAGGCAGACAAGTGGACGGCCTTGGCTACCTCTCTGGAAGACATCTTAGAAACTGGGGTACCCACTAGTGGAGAAAAGCTGGCCGAACTTTCTGAACAAGTGGCTGCCATGACGGCCAGCCTGGATGTATGTATCTATTACCTTCCTACAGCTAATTCAAAGCAGTTGTGTATTTAATAGATTATATACATATTGTGGTCTGAGATATCTTTATTCGCATAAGAATATACATTCACCTATAGCTTAAAAATGAGTTTTTTTAGCAAAAGCTAAATAACAGATAAATTTTTTGTAATGTTTTGATGGTAGTAATTTAATTGTTTTTGTCCAATACTTGGGCTGGAGTATAAGTTGACAAATGTTTTTTTAGCGTTTTTTAGGTTTTTTTTTAAATAAAAATCATTTAGAAAAGGAATATTAAAAAAAGGCACAGCCAAAATTATACGTCCCACAACTGGGCATACACCTCTGATTTTTCTGAAAGAGATTTAGAGCTAAAAAAATGTCTGCCGATTTCCCCTAATGCATGTTGGCAGGCTTCACATGTCCACCCTAGCCTGTGACACTGCGAAGTGACAAGGTCAAAGTACTGTTGCCATAATTTATGCGCGGTATATAGCGGGTGATTATTAGCGCCATCTACTATCAACGAGAGGAAATAGGAGTGTCAAGATCTTTCTATAACTCTCCCACTAGCGCCATCTAGTAACGAATAGAAGAACTAAGCTGTCTAGAAAACTGCACACTCGAACTTTCTACAACTAGTCGGTCGGGACCGGTATTTCCTGGAACATTCTAGATGTTTCAGTGGAAAAGGCCTACATAATGCCGTTGAGGACCGCGACCGGAGCAGTATTGAATTGGCGATACGAGCGTAGCCTTCGGAGCGAAATAAAGTGAACTAAAGTGTTAAGTGTGATTAATTATTAGTGTGTATTAGTTTTAATTGGTATTCGGTAATTAAAGTGTAAATTTTGGTAATTCAATCGGCGGTTTTTATTGTCACGAACCCTAAGCTCGTAACAGGACTAAATTTATTGTTTTATTGCCGCTCTGTGGCATTCCTTGGGGAGGCCTATAATCAGGAGTAGACTTGAGATGGGCTATATATGAACCGCAGTATCACTCAACAGTTTAACTGTCTTTGCCTGTCACCCTCACTTCTACAAATTGTGTCCGTATTTTTATTACTTTTTCTTACAGGTACTGAGCGACGCTCCAGACTACGACCACAAAAAGATCCAACTGGAAACACTATTCAACCGTCTAGAAGCGGCAATTAGCCCTCCACTCATAGACGCTCTTACACAAATGGACGCCGGTGAGTTTCTTTATTAATTGTATGGTTTCTTTTAGTCAATAATTTTCAAAAGTTTTTTTTATAGAAGAGGGGGGCAAACGAGCATACGGTTCACCTGATGTTAAGTGACTACCGCCGCCCATGAACATCTGCAACACCAGGGGAATTGCAGGTGCGTTGCCGATCTTTTAGAAAGGAGTAAGCTCTTTTCTTGAAATTCCCCAGGTCGTATCGGTCCGAAAAAATCGCCGATGGCAAACTATTCCACAGAGAGGTCGTACGCGGAAGAAAACTCCTAGTGAAACGTACAGTTACAGATGGTGTGGATGTTATCGGGAGGTTTGCGTTCATGAAATTTGGCAGCTGGGATTAATCCGAACAATTCCTCAGAGCACTCAGAGCAGAGTTTCTAATTAAAATTAACGTTAACTATTAATAATTAATATAAGAGTTAAAAAGACTTAAACAACACGCATTGATCATGAATTGTGATGATCCTGATAATTATTTTATTTTATCCAGGTGATCAGGACAGTGGGTTAAAGATATTAAATTATTGTATTATCATCGATTCTTGATAACAGTGCAAATTTTCATAAGGGTAACAAACGAGCACACAATACACGTGATGGTGAATGGGTGTTGTGGCCCATAGAGATGTGCATCTATCTTCAATTAAGAATTAAAGTGCAGATGCGTTGTCACCCCTGTTGACTAAGATGGAATGCCACGTTTCTCGTAAAAAGGATCTCCGTATCTCTACACTCACCATACGAAACAAACTTACGTGCTACCTGCGTGAAATAAATACAATCGCGCGGAACCTCAGGTTGCATACGCAGTCAGAACTAGCGCGTTTTAGGCGAAGAACGTACTAGTGAATTTTCAAGTTTTTTTAACACTGTTTATGTAAATACTTATATAAATATTTTGTATATTTATATAAGTATTTACATAAATATATGTATATACAGTATATTTAGTTAAAGGATAAAATGTTTTTAGTATAATTTATGTGTATGTTATAGAAAATACGTTCATTAACAATTTTCAAAACATAATAATGATAAAATGAATTTTATCGCTTGGCCCAGTATTTAGTTAAAATTATGCGCTAAATTTAGTTTCTTCCACTCTTAAATTAAATAACTGTAAATTTAGAGACGGTTCAAATATATGATATTATATTAAAGTAAAATTGTTGTAAATTAAATAAATAATCAGATGGTATATTTTGGTTTGGTGTTTGTGTTCACTGGGGGGGTGGGTGGGGGGGGGGGTTCCTTTTTTGAAAGCCCTTGGTAACCACGAATACCATCCGTGACGTAGGAAGGGGAAAATATGCAAAGCCATACGGACTCTCTTGAGCAGCGATAAGGTTTAATTTAGCTTGTGTATGTTATCTATCTAGTTAATAATAATTATGTAGGCTATTAAGAAGTCGGCAGTAGTGGACATCAAAGAAGTGCAACTTCTGTTATTCTGTGGTTCAGTATGAAGTGTCTCTTAACTATTAAAATAAATAAAATTAATTATTCTTCAGGCATGGTGCCATATAAATTTGTAAAAAATTACAGCTAGGGTAAAATTAAGAAAAGGATGTTTTTATTACATTTTATCTCCTTTATTTGATATGGGTGTACTTAATGATTATTGGTGTGTGTCATTTTTGGTATTTGTGAGAAATAAGATGCTAAAATTATTAATTGACCTCGAAAAAGTTTGATACTTAATAAAAAAATTCTATCACTGACCAATTAATCAAAACGATTGACATTTTATGACCATTTTCTGACCTTTCAGATGGTATAATTTTTCAATCGAAATTTTCACATATGTGGTGCTAAGATCGCGGAGCTACCCATTTTTCTTACAATATAAGGGTGACAAACGAGTAAACAGTCCACCTGATGGTAAATGAATGCTGTACAGTAGTATATATATCTCCCAAATTAAAAAAATGCAGATGTGTTTTTATCCCAGAGGACTAAGATGGAATGCCTCATTTCTGGAAGCGAATACCAGCATAAAATGGCAGGTTAATGCTGCTGTATTTATGCTGATTCTGACCCATTCGTGCTACAACCATAATACGCTGAATCGTGGTTCTACCACGTAGAAATCTATTAAGACAACATTAAAATTGTTACTTTGAACTTGTGATATTCTTTATTCCACTTTCAAGGTCGAAGAATGAATATTAAAAAAGTAAAACTGCCTTTAAAGTTGATTTTAATAAAATAAATTCAAAATAATAAATATAGTAAATAACTTACTTCATAAAAATCAATTAGCTTTCACAAAGAGTCGCCTGACAACTGATGCTGGTGTTGAGCTGATAATACATATTTCCAATGCATGGAAGAATGCTTTGGGTATATCCTGTGACCTATCCAAAGCCTTTGACTGTGTTCACCATGAGAAATTAATTAGGAAACTACAACACTATAGTGTAAGAAGTGATACTCTTAAATTTGTTATTTCATATTTGTGTAACGAAACGCAAAATTTGTTAGTAACGGTATGAGGTGTTCCGAGTCGATAGTACAAATGGTCGTGCCCCAGGGTTCAATTTTCGGCTCATTTCTGTTTCATGTCTATATTAATGACTTACCTTACATAGTTAAGCATAACCACGATATTGTATTATTTGCTAATGATATGTCATTCATTTTTAAACTATAACGACAATTACTGAAATATGACGAAGTGAATTTGCTATATTTAAATTAGTAAATTAGTTTGACGTTAATAATTTGCATTTAAATGGCACTAAAACTAAATTTATGAAATTCATAACTCCAGATATCAAACATCAAAATGCTAATTTTACATGGGTAGGAGTTGGATCTTATGGATACCACCATTTTACTTGGATTTTCATTAGACGCGAAGCCTTAGTAGAGCATACACATGTCAAAACAAGAAAGCAGACGTAGTTCTGCAGCGTATACTGTAAAAAATATAATACTGTTAAACGTGGTAGAGCCATGCTGCAGTTGTATTAGAAGTATAGTTGTAGCACAAATGTGTTGACTCGACCGGGGAAGGACCACACTCTCAAAGAATACCAGCGTAAAATAGTAGCTTAATGCTGCTGTTTTTTGTATGGTGAGTGTAGAGAACCGGAGACCCTTTTTACTGGAAACGAAGCATTCCATCTTGGTCCTCACGGGTGACAACGCATCTGCATTTTGATTCGTAATCGAGGGTAGATGTAGATGGCTATGGGCCACAGCAACCACTTACCATCAGGTGGACTGTGTGTTCGTTTGTCACCCTATCCTAATAAAATTTAAATATTACTATTGATAAATCAATTTTTTTAGCTATTTCCATAGCATAATGCTGTATGGTACTTTGCTATGAGGACACGCGACTGACGCTGTAATTATATTTATTTTTTAGAAGAAGGCCATAAGAGCAATTAATTGTTTAAAGTCTTATTCCATAAACTGTTTCAGTACTGGTTTAAACCATGACTAAAAAATTCAGGTTTGTTACAGTATTAACGTTAATACTAGAATCAAAATATCCGCTTGGTTTAAAACAAAGACACTCTGAGGTTCTGTTAGTACTAAAGTTCGTACAGGTAAATCGTAATCGTAAAGTTAAATAAAATACACCGATAAAAAAACAAAAACTGGTGCTCTTTAATTCGTTCATACAGGTTTCATTCGAAGAATTGTTTCTCTAAATATTAATATTATTATTATGCTTGATATTTTTACTTGATATTTATCAACTCAAATATACGTATATTATACATTATTTGTTAAGGTTAAAATCTATTGAGCAAGTAAAACTTCTACTTAAGGCGCGCTTTTTGTAATCAAGTTGTTTTAAATTTAACTACTCTAGTGTGAAAATAAATGAATTACATGGATGCCGTGTAGTGGCGGTTGAGAATATCCACTAGCCCATATCTTCCCGTGGGTGTCGTAAGAGGCGACAGAGGGAGACAGGCAGGAGATGGGCAGCAGCATCTTCCTGATAACAACAATGATATAATAAAAAACTGCGGTTGCCAACCCGCTCGCCAAGCGTAGCAACTATGGAAAATATCCCCCCATGAGTAACGACGCAAACAAACGGCCCCCAGTCCCCGGCGGCCCCGCTATTCCTGGCTACGGTGGCGACCATGGTAACGGCGGGCAGGGGGTGCTAAGAATCTCCGGTGGAGGTTCGGTTGCCACCTAGGACGACTCGACCTGATAACATATAACGCACGCACCCTGAGGACTGACGAGAAGATACTGGAGTTGGAAGAAGAGGCAGACAAGTTGCGCTGGCATATTATTGGATTATCCGAGGTCCGAAGAGAGGGGGAGGACACGGTAATGCTCGAGTCCGGCAACTTGTTCTATCACCGGGAAGGCGACCATCTGTCCCAAGGAGGTGTCGGATTTATCGTCCACAAGTCTCTCGTCAACAACGTTGTAAAGATTGGGAGTGTGTCGACGAGGGTCGCGTACCTGATACTCAGAATCACCAAACGGTATTCGCTGAAGGTCATACAGGTTTACGCACCAACCTTGGCACATCCCGATGAGGAGGTGGAGGAAATGTATGAGGATATTTCCAGAGCCATGCATTCCTCCAAAACCCACTACACGGTGTTGATGGGAGACTTCAACGCAAAACTAGGCACAAGAGAAAGCGGTGAGCTGAAGTAGGAAGGAAATTTGGAGTAGGGCAACGGAACCGTAGGGGCCAGCAGCTGGCCGACTTTATGAAGAAAGAGGGACTCTTTATGATAAACTCTTTCTTCCAGAAGCGGCCCCACAGGAAGTGGACCTGGTCGAGCCCCGACGGTTCGACAAAAAATGAGATTGACTTCATTATGACGACCAGACGCCAACTGTTCAGTGATATCTCAGTGATCTCAAGGGTGAAAACTGGCAGCGATCACCGAATGTTTAGAGGCACACTGAACCTAAACGTTAAGTTGGAGAGGTCTCGTCTAATGAAGTCAACGCTTCGTCCCCCTCGTGCTCTAAATCCAGAATCCCGAAACATTTCAGCTCGAGCTACGTAACCGCTTTCAGTGCCTAGAAGATTGCAATGCAGTGGACGATATGAATGACAAGCTCGTGGAAACTGTCCATGCGGTCGGAGCTAAGTTCTGTAAGACCGGCCGCAGAAGAACACAAAAGGTCTCCGATCACACTCTTAATCTCATGGCTGTTAGACGGGAGATGAGGCTGCAATCGTCAACAGATTTGACAGCATACAGGCAACTGAATAGACAGATCTCCAAATGCATGCGGCGAGACTTACGCAAATTTAATACTGCTCGTATTGAAGAAGCGATTGAGCGGAACCAGGGCTCTAAAGTCTTTGCCAGAGATCTATCTGCCAGTAAGAGCCAACTGTCAAAGCTGTAGACTGAGTGTGACAGCATCGTTTCCGGGACACCTGAGATTCTGAGTGAGATTGAGAGGTTCTATGGGCAGCTGTACACATCATCGTTGGAGCCACACGCAAGTGTGAGTAACGATCCAAGAGCGGGTCTTATCCAACACTATTCCGATGATATCCCGGACGTCAGTCTGAGCCAGATTAGAATGGCTCTCCAGCACCTTAAAAACGGCAAGTCCCCGGGCGAGTATGGAATTACAGCGGAGCTTCTGAAAGCGGGTGGAAAACCGGTACTTGAAGTCCTTCAGAAGCTCTTTAATTCCGTCCTCCATTGGGCACTACTCCGGAGGCATGAAGCAGAAGTGCGGTAGTCTTGTTCTTCAAGAAAGGTGACAACGCCCTCTTGAAGAACTACAGACCGATATCCCTTCTGAGCCGCGTCTACGTGCTGTTTTCGAGAGTCATTACGAATCGTCTCGCACGCAGACTCGACGACTTCCAGCCTCCCGAACAAGCCGGTTTCCGAAAAGGCTTTAGTACCATAGACCACATACATACCCTTCGGCAAATTGTACAGAAGTCCGAAGAGTACAATCTGCCACTTTGCCTGGCGTATGTGGACTATGAGAAAGCCTTTGATTCCGTCGAAATTTGGGCGGTGCTGCAGTCCCTTCAGCGGTGCCAAGTTGACTGTCGGTATATCGAAGTGCTGAAGTGTTTGTACAGTAGGGCTACGATGGCTATCCGAGTACAGAACCAGAGTACGAAACCTATCCAACTGTAGAGAGGTGTAAGACAGGGTGACGTTATTTCCCCGAAACTCTTCACCGCTGCATTGGAAGACGTTTTCAAGCTGCTGGACTGGAAAGGATACGGTATTTACATCAGTGGCGAGTACATCACTCCGTTCGATTTGCCGACGATATAGTACTTATGGCAGAATCGCTGGAGGACTTAAGCACTATGCTCAATGACCTCAATAGTGCCTCCCAACGGATAGGTCTTAAGATGAACATGGACAAAACAAAGATCATGTTTAATGTCCATGTCACACCTATGCCAGTAGTTGTTGGGAGCACTAAGCTCGAAGTTGTTGACGAGTACGTTTACCTGGGACAAATAGTCCGGCTAGGTAAGGCCAACTTCGACCGAGAGGTCAATCGACGGATTCAACTCGGCTGGGCAGCGTTCGGGAAATTACAACGCATCTTCTCGTCAGG